GAAAATGAAAAAAAAAACAACACTACCACAGATGGGAAAAGGTATCATCAACAAATTTAGGGTAATCACATTTGTATTTTTTGTATTATTTTTATTTTCATTGCTTGATGGTAGTTATGTAATGTGATTTATATAGAGTGTTTCTGAGTGCTGCATTAAATTGATAACTCTTGCTGGATGAACACATAAGCAAACACAGTACTATCTTTCTTTTCTTTAAATGTGCTGAGTTTTCTCTTAGAGAACCCTGTCAAGTTTTCCCTCTCAGTTAGAGGTCTGAAGAAAGTGAGTCTGTGTAGATAAAAACAGTTGGTTAATCATAACTGAAACACAGGAAAAATTAAAATATATTTTTGCTTGCAAAGTAGAGAAAAGTAATAAAAACAATGCCAGACGCTTAATGCCTCTCTTGTACCTTTCATTTGAAAGACCTCAAAAGAACATCAAGAAGAAGAAAGGCAAAATCTATTCCCTATTGGCATCATTATAAATGTTGTATCCTCTAAAACTCTAAAGACATCCAAGAAGAGTAGAAGAATAAATGGCATTGAAATAAGCAGCTCTCTCTAGAGCTTTGTTCAATCAGCTTTGTTAGAACTCACTCAAATCGGATGATTATAAGAAAAGATCTCATTTGTTTCAACATTAAAGGAGCAAATTAATACGTGGCAAGCTGCTAATAATTGCCTCATTATTTACTGAATTGGCATTGTGTCCAATTTACAAAATTACAATCATATTGTTAAAGTAACAATCGGGAAAGTTTAATCTGAATTTCCTAACTATTTCTGTGATTAGTTGTGGGATTCACAGAGTAAAGCAGAATTGTGGGTTGGAGTGATTTCTGCAGCATATCACAGACCTATGGTGCTAGGAGCTCTCTGGAGTAAATCAGGTCTTCTTTAGTGTAAATTACATATGCTTAGATCCTGGGTTAGATTTAGTCCAACTAAAGAATGAATTTGGCTGTCTCTGCTAAGATTGGAGCTTGGAATGTAGCCAGTCAATCCAGACATTGTTTTTCAGTCCTCACTGACTTGGAGAAACAAGAAAGTTTGTGGTGTGGAAAGTTTTGGCTGACATGTTTAAGAGATGTTGCCTGAGATCATGTCCACTTTGATCTGTATCAGTCCTGTAGGCTGGGAACTTGGTCATACAAAAGATGCACCTTTTGGAAAACCCAAATGTGCAAGTGATTCTGTAGCTGGAATTTCATTCTCTTCATGGAGACATTTGAAATGTTGGGGGATTCTTTCAAACTGGAAAATAACCAAATTCCCAAGCACTGAACGCCTCTGTGGAACTAAATCAGGTTCTGTGACCTACTTTTAGTTAGATGTGCTCGTGACCTTTTCTAATTCTGTCTGTTTTGTTATTTAACGATTTGACCTTTGATTTTGTGAAGCCACTTCAGTGCTAAATGCAAAGATTTAATAACTAGAACTGTTTGATACGTGATCTTTATTACACAGCTATTTCTCTTTGCTAGAACAGTGGCACTGTTTTGCAAGTTCTAATTCACAGTTTTAATTATCTTTTCCATTGTCTGTAAGCTTGCACAGGAAATGGAAAGGTCAGACATTTCATTTTCGTTACTGATTAAAATATAAGTGCTGCTCAACAGTCACAATGTATCATTCAAGAAAAAGACAGGACAATTTGTCAGAATCATGCCCAGCTGCACTGCTGAGGAGTTTTACGTCCTTCTGGTCAGCAACGAAATGAGTAATTTTCTAGAGGCAAAGCAGCATATCAAAAATAAGCTCAGAGACTTAGAGTGTGTAGCGGTGATATATATGTCTAAGTACACAAAAAGAAAAGAAAAGGTAACCAGTTCTCTCTGTTTCTTTCTTTAGCTATATAACTGTAATGAAAGCAAACACAGGTCTAGTGAAAAGTACATTCCCTGGCCAGAGGGCATAAACAGTAATGGCATGGGGTCCCGCACCGTCCTGCTAACCTGCAGTGGCCCCAGAGCTGCTGGCCTCTTCCTGCAGGTGAGAGGCAGCTTGGACTACCTGCCAGATCCATCTTTAGTTAGTATTTCATTACTATCCTGGTGTTTGTGATCCAGACACCTGCAAACTGTTAACTGCAAAACAGATGACCGACAAGACAAGCATTCAGTAATTCTCCAGTTTCTGTCTCCCTGTATTCAGGGTTCTGTGTGTACGAATTGTTTCTCTGTCTCTATTCACTCTTAACACAAACAGTACAGCAAGTTCAACAGCATAGTGATCTGCTTCTTGTACTGATTCTGTGATAACCGTGAAGATGTTAAAAACCAAAAATCTGCACATGGGAGATAAACATGAGGTTTACAGCTTACATCCTAGTTTTGGGTGAGGGGTGGCACAGGATCCTACAGATAACTTAGTCGCAGTGATGTTGTGAGCCATCAGTGAGGTCAGAGCTCAGTATTGGAAGCAGCAGCCCTGGCAACCTCATTTCTTGCCATTTCTGGCCATGCCGGATACCTGACCCCCGATCGTGGAGTAGCTTCATCAGTAGTCGCCTGGCAGAGGAGCCACGTTTGAGCACCTTTCATGTCTGAAAGTGCTGGGAAGCCATGCATGAGTTAGGGTGCAATTGCAAACAGAAAGATTGAGGTAAATGAAGAAAAGGAGAGCTGTTCCGTGTGCATTATTGAAGCCCACAAGCTGCTGTGTGTTCGATATGTGTTTTCTGATAAAGTGCAGAAGATATGATGCAGTCGATGCTGGCATGAACGGACTATCTGTCACAGGTGTATTTGATGCTTGGTTCAGATGCACGGAGCATGATGTTTTCTGGTTTCACTTTCTCTGTGATCTCTGTGCACGCTAGGTGCACATTAGGACATATAAAACTACTGTAGATTTTTTAAATATTTGTTTTGAGATAAGGCTGGGAGAGATTAAGCCCACTCTTTGCTGAAGAGAAGATTACATGGTGACCTAGTACAGGCATGCAATACGAAAGCATTTTGTAAATTGGTACAACATAAGCGAATCTCAACACAAGAGCTAGAAAACTGGGGGACACAATTGCAGGAGTAAGTGTACTTGGTTTATTCGAGCAGAACAGTTGCACTCAGTGAATAGAAAATGTGCAATGCATTTCTAACTAAGGTCAGAAATCAAACAATTCAAGTTTGAGAGAGCAGCTCAATTTTAATGGAGAAAAACATGAAAAAAACACAGTTCTCTAAGACAAATTTAAATGGGTCCAGATTCTTGAGCAAATTGGTGTTTTCCTATCTAGCAGTTTTATATTTAGCATTTGTTAGTTTGAAATTTCACCCTCAAATCTATAAATTAATCTGCTGGGACTTTAACAATTCACTTCATGTTAGGATGTAAGTTATGTTTATGGATTTGTTTAGATCATCCAGCCATGTCCTCATAAACTATCTTAGAAAGGATTTGTGTAACTAAGTGATAAACAGAAAGACTGTTGTGTTCAGTTGCATCTCCTGGGATTTCATTTGTGTTGTCAGAGAGCTAGACAGGATGGCTCTGTAAAACTACGATTGCTATAAAAAATAACCAAAAAATGGTTTTCTCTAAAGAAAACATTGCCAATGTTTTTGCATGCGGTCAAATATCTCTAACCCCTGACAAAACGAGGAAAGAATGTTTTCAGGAGCCACTTGCCTGCAGAAGTGAGTCTTTGCAACTGCTGGAATTATTGCAAAAGTCTTGCAGGTTGTACCTTAGATTAGTTAAATATTGTCACACAAATATAAGATACTTCAACACTGAAATTCAGTTCTTTTTGGATATTTACCTCTTGTCCTTGTAATATGTACCATTACCAAACAAAATTGATGTTGTCTTGGCCACCATTTCCTAAAGGTTAACATGGTTAAATGTGTCCGGGATGCTGATTGCAATTAGCTAAATGAAGGTGTGATTTTGAAGTGAGATAATGACAAGGTTGCTCAGAAAAGCACTTAGCATCCTGTCAGGTTTAGCATCATGAAGGGAATTATACCTAAAGAATGTGCAACTGAAGCCACTAGCCCAGATAAGAGCAGGACAGATGATTTAGTCTGTAACCATACATAAAATTGTAGATAATTTGTAGCCTGGACAGTTCTTCTGTAGTTTTTTTGTTGGATGGATATAGTTTTCATTCGGTTTAGAGTGCCAGCCAAACTGTTTGTAAAATTCAACCTAAATATATGGCATTTCCTCTATTTCTTTTGGTGCAAAAGCCCCAAAGATGCATTTGCTATTTATAGCTTGACAAATGGAATATCAGACTGTTCTATGTCTCTTAAGACAGGTAGCTGTTTCTATCTCTATTTCGTTTGGGAGAAATATTGTCATACATTGTACTCAGGAAATACTCTCTTTGACTTCACTGTGTCTGGGATTATGTTCCTAGTTCACAAGTTGCCATTCCTTCTACTTCTTGCTTTTCATGGGTCATGGCTATTATTTAAAGAGAGCATTATATTTCTGTTTATACATCTCCTTTCCAAGTGCAAGGTTTTCACCAGATTGCTTGTTAGAGTAACACTTCATTTTTGGCTCCAATCACATGTTTGAGAACTATTCATTCAAACACATAAATAGAGTCAGTGTATAGTCATATTTCTAGATTTTTTTTTTTTATTTTTTTCCTGTTGCAGATAACACCTTTTTAGAAGGGAAAAAGGCATTGATCTAAATAGTATTTTCTGCTGCTTCTTTCGTTCATTGTTTCCTCTTTCAGTGAGAAGAGTCATGTTTAGAGAGAAAAGAGAATGATTCTTTTTCTAGTTGGCTTTGCAAAGAAGAGAACAAAGGAAAAGATTACAGCTACTGCCTCTTTCAGGAAAAAATGGATTGCATTCAGAACTTTGTAGCAAGAGGGTTTTCCACCAGCTCTGCCACATGGGGATTTATGTCTTTTTAAAGAGAAGTATCACCATCAATTTGGTGAATTAAGCCCCTCTTTCTTTTAAATGAATTTTCAGCCTTCGTGTTTTACAGAGAAAGAATTACAGTGTATTTTTGATATCTTTCTTTCAGCCTCTGCAACTAGACTGTGACCTGTGTGCCATCGTTTCAAACTCAGGCCAGATGGCTGGCCAGAAGGTGGGAGCCGAGATAGACAAGTCTTCCTGCATATGGAGGATGAACAACGCTCCCACCAAGGGCTATGAGGAGGATGTTGGGAAGAGAACAACCGTAAGAGTGGTCTCTCACACAAGCGTGCCCCTGTTACTCAAGAACCCTGAGTATTTTTTCAAAGAAACCAACAACACTGCCTATGTGATCTGGGGTCCTTTTCGGAACATGAGGAAGGATGGAAATGGCATCGTGTACAACATGCTGAAGAAAACTGTTGACAGCTACCCAGCTGCCAAGATCTATGTGACAACTGAAAAGCGCATGGGTTACTGTGATGCTGTGTTTAAGAAGGAGACAGGAAAAGACCGGTAAGTCCTACTTCTGATGAGCAATTATAATGTTTGAAAAAATATACATGGGAGAGGGCCATGCAGGATGCCAGCTACTAAATGAGTCCCTAGATATGTTTTTAATGGATTGTTATACGGTTTTGACTGTTATAAGCACTTGATGAGGCAGCAGCTAGGCCCCATTTACCCCACCTACGCTACCTTCTGTTCTTTCCATTCTGTTGGCTTGAGTCCCAAAAATATTGGATGTCTTCCTGAAACATTTTAAAAGCTCTGTGTTGTTTTCAGCTCAATTTACTATTGATTAAATTGACATTTTATTTGAAGAGGATAATCCTACACAAACAACATTTCTAAATGCACAGCCTCAGGATAGGTCTGGATTTTGTGTTTTCTTCTCTGATGAGATTTGCTTTACCTTCAAACACAAGCATCAGGGTACAAAATGGTTATGGCATTTCTTGCTGAAAATGGATTATCAGTCATATCATAATAGTTTTAGCAGAATTGTGTCGGTATGTTCTCCTTGCCCAAAAAGGTGTGTTTACGCTGCTCAAATGGAGGTTGTGAAAGAGATGGAAGTGTGAGAGTTGCAATTTTTGCTAACACACGAAGTGTTGAATTTGGATTTGTGGAAGTCAGTCAGTCAACTACAGAATTTTGTAGATGATCTGCAAAATTTCTATCAGAGGATAGAAATTTTCTGCTGTATCTGTGAGGTATATGGTGTTTGTAGAAGCAGGAAAGGGAAAGCACAGGAGCAGTGTGGGTGATGAAAATAGTTTTATATGTTATGCCAGACTATTATGATGCTGAGACAGGCTCAGGTTCTTCAACCAAATATTCCTTCCGTTCCTAGGAGGAATATCAACTCTTGCTTGCAGTATTAGTTTGAGCAGAGGTCTATTTCAACAGCTCCCCAGCAAAAAAAAATCTAGGAGCCTGATCCTAAAATACAATCCTTATGTACAGAGTATGCTACCAATGCATACTAAGATTACAACAGATTTCTGGTCTGTCAAGCTTTTAATGAGCTTTCAATTTCTACTCTTTGATGTACCCTCTCTTTGCGCAATTAGTGGAATTTTAAAGTTTTTTCATCCTCATGGTGCTCAAATTTTAGAGGATGTTGCAGGGAGTGGCTCACAGCTGCCTGCTGTGGTGCCTGCTGTGCTGCAGATGTGTCCTGCTCCACAGGAACAGGACCCTCATCCTCAAATCCTGTGAGCGCAGCTCCAAACTCCCAGCTTTGCCTTGAACAAAGGTTTTATTGTTGGGTCCGGAAAGAAACAGGATTTGCACCTAAAGAACTTCCAACAAGCATATTTTATTAATTTAGAACAAAATATTTTTAATTCTTCTACAGTACAAAGCATCCTCTGATATGGACTGTCTGTGCTGGAGACTTAACCTTGTGTGCAGTGTTACAAATCTGAGGGACGTATGTTCTCTCTGAGAGTCTTCATTAGTGAAACGTTTGAGTTCAAGGCAGTGAATGCTCATTTGCTTTGAATAATTATTGTACATAAATAATATTCATTACCAGACATTCACAATTTTTCATTAATGTATTTTACTTGGTACTTCCCCAGAGGCAGCATAAATCTGGCAGCTTCTTCCCAATACTTTGCTAATGTTTTAGTAAATTGTATGTATTGAGTCAGGTAAAAGGATTTAGAGAAACGTGAGGTAATTCTTAAATGCAGGTTACCTGAATCCAGGTGAGCAGTTCTAAAGACATTTATAACTTTCCCATACATTAGAAATATAATGTAAGGTCATATGAATACATTTAGCTGGAAACAACAGAGAAAACTATAGTCTTCATTAAAGCAACAGAGATAATTCTGGTCTGATAGAGTGCACTGAACAGCCCTAAATAGGTTTTAATTAGCTGGCACCAAAGCTGCACCACCCTTAGGGAGGGTAAAATTAATGAAAACTAGCAGCAAATAGATCAGTGCGACCGGCTGTTATTGCCTTGGGTGAAGGTGATGAGGAAGAAGGGAGTGTCTTTTAAGGATCATTTAGAAAACAGTCTGCGTTAAAAGTCACTTTCAGAAGGCAATGATAAAATAAATCTGTGCTAGTATCAGTGAGACAGTCTAATGTCATCCAGATTGCAGACTCTGCTGGTGTTTATCTTGCAAACATCGCAGGGAAGCAGCTCAGCAGAGCCATCCCCGTGATGGCACTAGCTCCGTGTCCCCTCTTGAGGGGTTCATGCTGTGGTCAGAGCATGTCAAACCATCCTGTTGCACTGGCAGGACTCAGAAAGCCTCCGATAGTGCATGTGCACCGGTCTAAGCACAACTTAACGTATTCTTAGTCACACCCCGTGTGAATTGCAACCTGAAAAGAATGGCATGAGCTTTGCTGTTTCAATATGAACTGTTCTCCTAAAGTTCTCATTGAGTGACGCGAGGTGATGTTCAGAAACACGGCCAGTCCCACAGGACATTGACTTGATATAGACAGTAGATCTAATGAATGCTCCCAGTCAAACAATCCAGTTTGATTCAGCCCTGTTGTATTGGGATAATTAGCTAGAGGAGTATGCAGCTGTACAGGACGTGGAGTTGGTGAGTCATTTGTGCAGTCAGATGGCTGTCGCTGGTTTGAAGGAATTTTGTTACTATCTTGGACAATCCTGAAGTAAGAAAATAGCTTTTGTGCTTCTCTTCCAGTTCTCAGTTTCCTCTGTTCATGCCCAGATGGTGCTGTGTGTTAGGCTGTGAGAGCTGTTTTGTCATTCGAGGCAGAGAGATGGATCATGCTGATCACTGAGTCAAGATTCAGAATTTGGGTGGGTACTCAGCCTGCTATTTTGCTCAGCTATGCTCACTAATTATTTATTACTTTGGCAATATTTGAGATTCGTATTACATCTCTGTCGCTTAGAGCTATCAAATTATATTAATCTAAATTTCAGACTGACACTTAGATGACTGCAGTTATTACAGCCTCACCTGAACTAATATGTGGTTGCTGATGTGTCTGACTAATCTATGTAAAGCTGTAGTCTAGTACAGATGTCGCTGAGATGAAGAAATGAAATGACATTTGCTAGGAGTTGGGTAGCTGCAACTTCTGTTGTTTGCTCATGGTCTTCATGAATTTAGACCTTAAAGCCATCAGTGGCCATCAGAGTTTTTCTAGGTGTTGGCTTAAATGAAATATTATTGTTATGCTACTTCCACTTGTGGACTTGTTTACATAGACCTGCTAGTTTGTTTAATAGGGCCATTCAGAGAAAGTATAAAATCGTAGCCAGAGTTGCACAGCATTTGCAAAAAAAATTTTTTTTCTGTGGGAAATCGTAAATGTTGATGCCAAAATCTGTCCTCAGAGAGTTAAATTTTGGGAGTTGGGAAAGACTTTTGATCAGTGCTTTGTATCAGTGTTCTTTTCCTGAAAAATACTGCAAGATGAGTAAATGCTCATTTCATTTCAAGAAAATAAATAGAGTAAGGGAATAAGTACCTTAAAGTTATGGTCCAGACTGACATAGGAATGCTTGTTTAAGCATTTTTAAGGACAAAAAAATGATTTTTTCAATTTACCTTTTGCTACAGTTTGTATTATGATGATGTAGTTATGATGAATAGTTTATTGCACAAATAAAGTCAGCAAAAAGTTCTCACCTACCTGTGAAATTCAGAGCTAACCCCAAAATGTGTGTTTGATATAGTGAATATTTTTCCTGTGCATAATTGTGGACTTTTCTTGAACCATTCCATGTCACTTTCATTCTTTTTATAATGTAATTTCTTCAAAAAAAAGGTTAATGGCTTTGTCCATCTTCATTCATAGAATTCATAGAGGACTTAAGTACTTTCATTGTCAGTAACGACTCCTTTATTATCTGAAAAAGCAAGGGTTTAAAGCATGAAACCTTAATGAAATAAATAGATTTTTCATTAAAAAACACTTAAAAACTTCAACATCTATTGCTATTCATGGTCAATCACAAGACCGGTAACAACTGCTTTGGGGTTTACACTGTCTGCACTCGCTCTTCCATTTCCTGATAAAACACCAGTTGTTCATGAGTATCTTAGATTTATTCCCTGCAGCCCATTAGTAACTGCATTTATTTTACTTTATGAAGATTTTCCTAATTAAGATGAACATTTTTATCTATTAGGCAGATGGAACTCAATAGAGGAAGCTCGTTTTTTATTAACATGCCAGTAAATGCTGTACAGAGTGCTGGCACTTTTGTTAAGAAACAGAGCTCTGACTACATTACACTAATTATGCAGTAAAAAAGAAACTTTATTAAAAAAAATCAATATTAGCTAGTATTTTGCGATAATATCGTGGTTGCATTTAGAATTTGGACTCAGAAACCAATTGATTCTTTGGTGATTTCTAACTTTAGCTATGGAGTCATTTGCTTTTACCTCATGAGGTAAGTCAAGAATTACATATCAGAATCTACTTTATCTTTTCTTTGCATTTTTAATTTTTCTTCAAGTGAACCTAACAACTACTGCTTTTGATTTATCACTTTTTTTTTTTAACACTACTGAATCCATTTTCTGGTCCCAATAAAGCAGATGTTGCAGCTTTATAGAGTGTTTGGTGTTATTGGAATTCAACACACAGCTTTCCCATCCTGTCCTTTAAAGTGGAAATCTGAAGCTTTTATGGTGATGATAGCATTGCTGATATCTCTCATGAGCAATGTTGGGATTACTCATGTAGATGAGATTTGCCAGCACTTTTCTCACATCCCATGAACATTTACCTTCTGAAGGATTAGACAAAACAGTAAAGAATATGGGAGAAATTCTGGTAGCACAGTAGGTCCCTGTGCTTCCAGCTTTGCTGTCATCGGTAGAGGTATTTCAAGTAGGAATAATAGATAATTTGGAGGAAGAAGCTGGTAGAGGCATAATTTTTGAAGGTAACCTTTGGTGTTCATAAAAACCTTCTTGGATTGTCTTTTATAGATCAGCTTTTCTTGCCTTTTCAGATCACAGTGAATGAAACAAAGCACTTTTTTTTTTTTT